ACTTGTAGTTCAACAATAGCTAGAGTGCTGGAGTTGCCCACCCCTGATTTAGACTGTGTATACACTAAATAAGTGTTCTTGTTTAGCAGAACGTAAGGGGTGTATATACTGTTTTTAATGTATTTAAGATATACAGTACATGTACAAGAGATCAGTTTGATGTAAATAATCATATCAGTTTCAGTTTATGTTTTAAGAACTGTGTATAGTTTGTAATTAAATATGTACTTGGGCACAGCCATATTTGCATACTGCATGTTCAGGCTTACTGCTATAGAAAGGTTGATATTTACTACTCCTTCTCATAAGTCTATAAGTTGGCCAATTTATTGAAAACAGTTAAAGGAGAACTTTGGGGTCAGTGCTCTACTCCATAGTTCTCCTCACGTTCACGGGAGGACACAAACTAGCGTCCTCCCATGACCCAAAGCTCAATATACTGCAAGCTACAGCTCGTGGTATACTGAGACCGCCGCAGTCGGGACGGATCCTGACATTACTGTCGAGATCCACCCGGCTCTGCCTATCTAGAGACAGAGCCAGCTGTACCCGCCCCCTCCCCTGTCTGTTCCGCCAGTCAGCGCTGGAGGATCGGACAGGGGAGGGGGGAATCCCTGCAGGGAGCTGTGAGTGACAGTCACGGCTCTCTGCAGGAACAGGATCGAGAAGTGAGCGAGCGACGGTATGTGTTCACTCACTTCCCGATCTATTGAGCCGGCGTGTGACAGTTTCATTGTCACACGTCAGCTCGAACTACGAAGTTGAGTGAAAATCATAGTTCTCCTTTAAGTAATGATAATGGCTCATCTGCTTTGCCCCTATTGGCTAATCTTCACATCTCTACATTTATTATAATAGGAGTCAGCATTTAAACATGTTAAAGTCACATCAAAATTACTTTAAAGGAGAACTATGAGTTGAGTGCTTTTCACTCACCTCATAGTTCTAGCCGACCTGTGACAATGAGACTGTCACAGGTTGGCTTAGTAGATCGGGAGGTGAGCGAACACATACCGGCGTTCGCTCACCTCTCGATCCTGTCACGGCTCTCTGCCGTGACAGGGGAGGGGCTGGATTCCCCCTCTCCGCTCCGATCCACCAGCGCTGACTGGCGGAACGGACGGGGAAAGGGGCGGGTACAGCTGGCTCTGCCTCTAGATAGGCAGAGCAGCTGTCACTCACGCAGCTGGGCGGATCCAGACATAATTGTCGGGATCTGCTTATACTACAGCTCGCGGTATACTGAGCCTAGGGTGAGGGGAGGACACTAGTTTGTGTCCTCCCGTTACCCTAAGGAGAACTATGGGGAAAAGCCTTAACCCCATAGTTCTCCTTTAACCCCTTCGTGACGGGAGACGTACAATATACGTCCCGGAACTTTGTGCCTATATGACTGGCCACGTACACTGTACATGACGAGTTATATCAGGCTTTGTAATGCTGGTAACAGCTGATTCTCAGCAGTTACCAGTCATTAATGAATGCCTCAGTATTGAGGCATTCATTCATGAAATAATTAAGCTTTTTGTAAAAGCTTCTTCCTTTCAGTAATGAAAGAATGAAGCCGTTACATGCAAATACAGGACCGCAATTTGCGATCCTGTATTTGACAGCTGAAAATAGCAGAGAGGTAGCAGTGACTCACCTCTCTGCTATTTGTTTTGACAGCTCGAGAGCCCGATGTTTAGATACATTTCACTCAAAAGATACAATGTATATCTTTTGAGTGAAATGTATCAGTTCTGATCGTCCAGGCACGATCAAAGAGCTTTTAGTGAGATCTGAATCTGACTAAAGTCAGGATCAGTCTCTAAGGTTATTATTAGCTGTTCCTAAGTTTGGATCAGTCTAATAGCCAAAAATGTTTAAAAAAGTTAATTTATAAAGCAGTCATAGTGACTGCTTGATATTAACTGACAAGAAAAAAAAAGTATTTTTTTGTAATTTTTTTTTTTACAAAGTGTAAAAAAAAAATTCAATAAAGTGTAAAACAAAATTAGGAAAATAAAATGTATATATAAATATATTTTTTATACTATAATTAATATAAAAAAATAATA